AAAAGCAATAGCTCAGAAGCAAGAAAATATAAAGCTCAGGACAGTCATTATCCAAAAGTTGAGTGTGTGGATATTCACTTTTTTTTTTTCCTTTTCTTCAAGCTGTCAACTTTGTAAGGGTTTAAATAAACCTACAGCTTATCAGTGTAAAAGGTAACTATGGTACCTAAAAATAGAAAGCCAAGAAGCCAACAAAACACTGAGCACGGGGCTTTTCTGGACTCCCACCTTGCATAGGTCTCTGACAGATGGAAGTGTCCCAAACAAGGTTATTCTAGAATAAAGTCTCCCCCTTGTGGATCTCTCACATAATAAAAGCTCCATCAAACACTTAATTGCATAATAAAGTTTGTGTTCCTTCCTCTGCTGGTAAGAATTTCAGGGGCAAACAGGAACATGCAATGAAATCATGGCACATGGTTTATTTAACTCCGTGGGCTTGATCCCACCTCAGGCAAGACAAGTTGTTTTGCTGTAAGATACTTTATGATTCAGTGATAAATTCACTTAAAAGACACTAAAGCCTGCAAAATAATTTAATTCCTTCTCACCTCTACACAGGAGTTATGAAGGGTGTTTTAGTGAACCTCCCCCTCAAACTATTCAGCCCCAAACCATCAATGGTTTAACCAGGTAAAAATTCAAATGCCAACCTCTTTTGATTTAATACCTACTAAAAATAATATAAAACGTGGCAAGAATCCCATGCTATTTTAATTGCACAAAGTTTACTATCCTGGAAAAAAGAGTTTCCTCCAAGAGCAACTTTTTGCGTCTCAGAGATTAAGGAGCCATAGCACTATTTGCAGAAAGGCTCTTCCTCAAACACTTCATTAACTACACAATTCTCTGATCTGCATTAATTTAAAGGGATCACAAAGATTCCTTTGCATATGATGATTCACATTATCATAAATTAAGAAATCATTGTGATCACTTAAATTATCACCTTGATCTCAATGCACTCTTAAGGTACTTAAACGTTGTTCTAATAAACCATGCATCTGGTCTGCAAGATTGATTTTGATTTTTGAAAAAAATGTTATAAGAAACAAAATTCTTGATGGCTTGAAATGCCCTTCAATTACACACATGACAAACTGATATTTTATTCGCGGTACCAACTGTTGAGTCAATACTGGGTAAAAAGCTTTTTAACTGCCCAGAGAGTTCTCACATTCATTTCCGAGCAGTAATATAACGGTTAAATATTTATTTCTTGCAAGTTCTGGAACAGTGCTAGGTTTCCTACTTTCATTAGCGGTCTGTTATTTGTATGCAGTAATTGCTTTAAAAATATTAGCATTGTAATTTCTTGCTGGCGCTGTGATGAATCGACAGAAAGGCTTATCCACTGTGCCTCCCCCAATGCCAGAGACAAAACCTCTTTAATTTCAAGATTACACACAAAGAATTCAGGAAAGATGTCAGCCTGACAGTCTAGTAGGACTCCTGTCCTTTCTAATGCAGAACAGATGCAGTAGCTAAGCAGTGCTGCACCCTGTCAATGTGCCTCTTTAGGAAGCAACAGCTCCTCCAAGGAGAAGGGAAGCTGCTGCTTCTTCGCTTCATTTCAGTCCTTGACCTCTCAACAGCAAGCCATATTCTCCGTTCCAAATGTGAGATCTTTTCGGATGCAACATCTGGCTACTGGGAACTAAAAAAAAACCCACACTATTTATTCGTTTCAAACATCCCCCAACAATGACTGTCAATTGCTGTTGCTCTGGGACATGCAGAGGCGAAGTGACAGCAATCCACTCGCATCCCTGGATCCACGGCATTTCTGAATTTTTTTTGTTTTAAGAGTTCACTTCAACAGACATTAAGTGTGCACTGCTAAACTGTGACAGGCTACTAAAGCTGAGGACATGGGTTCTGATCTCTGATGCTTGACTCACAGAAATAAGGGGCTTGCAGAAACCACGAGGGCAAAGCACCATGAAACAAAACATTACAAATCTGACCAAGAGACAGGAAACTCCTGCAAAAAAAGTCTCTTCAACCCAGTAAAAAGAACCTTAGATATTTTGCTGTTTTCTCAGAGACTGCCTGCTTCTCTTGGCAGAATGGATGAGAAACTATAATTCTTACTGAATATGAAATAAAAGGAGAAAAATAATTGGTAATTACAATATTGCAAGCTATATTTCAAAATCACTGGTTCTTTACTGAGTGCCTTGATTTTCTGGTAAGTAGTCTCCACACACAATCCTCCAGCATTACTAAATGAGCTGCATTGCTGGTAGTGACAGACATTTGCAATACATGATATTTCACAATGTGGACAACTGTTAAATTTTATCCCTGAAGAGAAATGTCTTTACTGCCTCATACACAGCTCCTGTAAGTGTCAATACTCACACTGTGATTATGGACTAATACTATTAAGTTCTATAATACTTATCATATAGCTTCTACATACATTACTCTCATTAAATGCACAACATCTGGGTGCAACACTACAAACATGAAATAAGATTTTTACAAGAGAGCAAACTATGAGATTCAGAAACAAGAACAGGTTTCAGCCCCTAGATCTGTAGATCTAGACATCTAGTCTGCTGTTAACTGTCACTCATGCATGAACACGTACCAGGGATGAGTTTTGTGTAATGGTCATTCAGCTTCAGGTCATTCAACCTGACAGATAATCCCAAGATTCCACGTGGGAAATTAAGGAGGCTGTATTGTGAAAAACCTACCCTTCATTGTCATGTCACACCGTCACCTCTGTGCTATCAAAGCAGCAGGGACCATTACTGAAGTCATTCCTCCCTTATCTTTCCAAGCCCGTTGTCCTCAAACAACAGGTGCTTTTCACCTCCCTCCAGACCTCCCTCCCTGTCTCTTCGTGTCCTCCTCACAGCTAGAGAATTTCATCTTCCTCTCTTTATATTCCTTAAACCTCCCTGGTTCCCTCGTTTTCTCTCACTGTGGGCTGGACTTTTATGACACCTGTTAATCAGGCTGTCTTCTCTGCAGTTTCCAGTGTCCCACCCAAAACACATGGTTTCTCTGAAAACGTTTCACCATTTCTCAGTTCTTGCAATCTCTCTCCCCATTCTCACCATCACCGATCCTGCATCCCTCTTTTTCCAAACCATCAGTGCCTGTGATCTTTTCAATTCTCCATTTTTTTTATTCAGCAGGAAACCTATATGTTCTGAGATCGTAAATCCATCTCATGTACATGGATTATTAAGTGAAATTACTAAAACAAATACACCATCAAGAGCCAAAGCCCTTCTCTCCCCCATCATCCCCTTATGGTAATACAGTGCCCTCACTGCTCTGTGTACCACAGTGGCAGAGCTCTCTGCATGATCTCATGTGCATTAAAATAAGACAAAGCAAGCTGGGAACACAGCAGGGATTGTGCAATATTCTCTTTGACCCACAGAAGTTATGTGGAAAAGTTATTAAACCTTCAGCAGATTATTACCGTGAGGCATGAGCTGTGTGAAATGAAACTCAGAAATGGAGTATCTGTGGGGTTCAGGCCACATTACAATATATTAAAAAACCAGAGGATCATCTTTCTCCAAAAGACTGGGAAACATTAAAATTACCCTGGAAAATAATAAACACAGAATAGTGATTCTGTCTGTCTATTAATGGGGGGTATTTGTGAGCCAGGAGAAACCAATGTTAAGTTACCAGTGTCAGAGGGCTACTCAAATATGCATCCTAAAAATCCAAAGATGCCTTTTCAATTACTGCTGTTTACAGAAATCATGTGCATATATATCTACACCTATCACTTCAGTCATGTTCAAGAAGAAGAAAAGAATTACAAGGGGACACGTCACACAGTAGGAAGCCTGTGGCCAAACTTGCTTTTTCTACAGACATTACATTTGAGAATTTCCAGGAGAACCATGTGAGAAAGCAAATAAAGCCCACAAGGCACCATCATGTGCTATTTTTCTGTGTTAAGAGCCCTACAGATAACTCTTGCATAGAAAGTGATGCCAGAAGGAACAATAAAAATCTCTGTATATCAAAGTCACCAGTCTTCACACAGTACCTCTAAACTGAGCCCAGCAACGTGTTTGACAACCTATCTTTCAGAAAGTTGTCAGTCGGGATGTGAAAACATGAGAAAGTTGAGATTCCTCACTTCCCTTATTTTTTACTGTAAATTTTTACTGCAAGAGGTGTGTGTACTAAACATTATCTGGGGTTTTGGCAGAGGGAGACCTTGGAGTTTCCAGGTAAGTGCAACAAACTGAACACAGCACAAAAGTAGAGGAATCTGCCTTCTGAGAAAATTCCTGAAGATCAAGCATCTCATCAAGGTGGATGTGCCACCTTGCTCACTTTATGTCACTACATCTGTCCTGCGAGCTATCAAAGCTTAGTCTGCCTATCTCTGGTAAACACATATTACAGTCTGACAATCCAGCCCGGTAATTTCTCTGTCAAGGGGAGGGACATAATTTTGTTCCCCATTAAAGAAGTGCCCCCAATTTCTATAATGGAAACTACGGTTGGCAACTTCTGCTTCCCAGGAGGGGGATGAAAAGGTCATATACGTGCCGGAGACACCCTTTGTGGTTCCCCACGACAAAACGAGCTAAGAATAAACACCTACCTATTGACCTTCCCTTCCAGTAAATAAACTTCATTCTTTAACCCTTACGATTATCACCATAAACACACATCTGTATTGTCGCTATAGCATCCGGCACCAGAAACAAAACCACTTCACCCTCCCTCTTCCACCGCGCAAGGGAGAAGGCAACCAGCACCGCACAAACGCCAAACCGCAGGCTCACACACCGGGTCCCGACCCCGTTCGGTCGTGCCCTCGGGGCCGGGCACGACGGCACCCCAAGGCTGTAGAAGCCAGCCCGGGCAGCCAGGGCATGGCGATGCCGCCCAGGGGGCCGGGGCATCCGAAGGGGGGCACCGGGGACAGCTCGGCAGGTCCCCCCGCGGCGTCCCCCCGGGGCCGGGAGAGAGAGGGGCGGTCCCGCTGCCGGCTCCGGGCTCACCTTGTGCTCCAGGACGCTGATGTATCCCTCCAGGAGCCCGGCCCCGACGGGCAGGGCCGGGTGGCGCTGGCCGCGTTCGGGCGGGCGGCTGGGCACCGCCGCCACCTGCTGCTGCTGCTGCTGCTGCTGCCGCCGCCGCGGCTCCGGGTGGCCCCCGCCGATGCCGCCGATGCCGCCGTACATGAGCAACAAGCTGGTGCACATGGTGGTGAGCGCCAGGCAGACGGCCAGCCCGTGGCGCTGCGGGGGGCAGAGACACGGCCGGCTCAGCGGGGCTCCCCACGCCGCGGGGGCCGGCGGGCATCGCCGCTCCCCCCCAGCAAGTTTCACCCGCCAGGGACCCCGGCAAAAGTGCGGCAGAACTGGGGAACCCCCTCGCTCGCCAGCCCGCTCCCCTGGCTGCCACCCTCTCCACCAGCCCCGCTTCCTCCCCTCTCCTCCCCTCAGAGCGCCCGGCTCCCCCGCGCCTCATCCCCGAGCCGCCGTCCCCGCTCTGGGCATCTCAATGCGTGCGTTTTAAGGAGTGCTGGGGATGTAGCGCTCCTCCCCACACACACCGCCCGGGTACCTCCAGCATCGTCCTTTGAGCAGGTCGGTTTTCTATACGCTCCTTAAAACGCACGCACACACACACACAGACACAGAACCCCCAAACCACGAGCAACACGAATAAAAGAAAGCAGGCGGAAAGTTCTTGGCCGCCGCCGCCGCCGAGGTTTTGGTGGCCTCCGCGCGATCCCGAAGAGCCGGGGAAGGATGGAGGGCGTGCAGGGTGCCCGGGGCAGCTCCGCGCCTCTCTCCTCCCCTCCTCTATCCCTCCCCTCCCCGCCGCCGGAGCCGGGATGAGCAGTGCCAACAATGCACTTACCATCAGGGTCTTCATTTTGTGCGCCTCCCGGCCGCCAGTCCTGCCGCTCCCCGCTAGGCTCGGCATGGCGGGGAAGCCGCAGACATGGCTCGGCCAGGGAAGCGCCGCCGTGGCGGGGATTAGGGGGGAATTACACCCGGCCGGACCCTCGGAGCCTGCCAGAGCCGGGTCCTCGGCTGCCCCGCCTGCCTCCGCCTCCGCCCCCGCCTCCTGCTGCCGGCGCAGCGGCGACTTCAGGGCAGGTGGAACTTAAAACTTCTGCCTCCCGCTCCAACGCTGCTCCTCCAGCGGGCACCAGGCGGGCACCGCTCCCTCCTTCCCTCCCTCACCCTGCCCAGGCCTCTGCCCTGCCCTGCTCGTCGCACCGGGGCACGACTCCCTCCACACCCCAACGTTATGTTATTCGTATTTTTCCCCAGCGGGAAATTTCCCGGTTTTCCCACCGCTAGCTGGGTTTCCTGGGAGGGCTGGCAGCGTTCAGGCAAAATACTTTAAATTCGCGTTAGTAAAAAAAAGAAAATAAATAAATAAATAAATTCGACGCCCTCAACTCCTCGCGCGGCGCTGACAACACCCTCTCACAGAACCTTTCCCCAGCCCTAACAACCGGCTTCGAACCCTTCCTGACAGAAGCTTTCTTCGTTTTCTAAAGCAAATCTCCCAGACTTGTTCCCCATGCCATCTCTGGTTTCTGAAGGCGGACATTTTCCCAGTCTCACAAGCAGCCTTCTAAAGTTCTTTGTTCTTTATTTGTTTGTGTTTATGGTGTTCAGTTCAGTTTTGAAAACTTTGTTGGTAGACCTCATATTACCTAGACTTTTTGCTCTGGGAATCCCACGTCTATAAATGTATCCCTTCTAAACAAGCCATTTTAAGGTTGATCTCTCAGGAAGTTATTAGACTGACAGCGTTTTTTAAAAAAAAAAAAAAAATCTATCTCCTAATCATGAAGCTATTTCACTTGAAACTACTCATGGAAATAATAGTTCTAATATATGGCTTCGCATCTAACCCACAGCTATATAGTATTAAAAATTACATTAAGGAGAAAACCATCAGCAGGGTAACTCAACCATGGTCACAACAGCAGCCTTCTCAAGGCTGGAATTGTCATGGAAATCCATTTTTTATCTTTACTAATTCATTGGAGGACTAACAGTGAAACAAATGCCACCTCTAGCATGGGCACAGCACGCAGCATTTAGCGCCTTTTAAGAAAGTAAAAAGAAACAAGAATGTATGGTACGTCAGCGGATAGCGCAGTAAACACGCTTTATCATTTCACAGAAGAATGCCATATTGCACACATGCTTGCTATTTATTCAGTTTGTGAGTTTGGTTTCAATAGTACCAGTTGTTAAGACAAACAGAGCAATATAAGAAGAATCTTATCGGGTCTTGGTGATTCTTTATTATGTGGTTGCACTTGACACTCAAATTAGTGAAACAAAGGGCCAACTTGATGAATCATTGAAAGCAAATTATCTGTGGCTCTCCAAGGCTTCCTGCAAGAGACTACAAAAGGCAGCTCATGCATTTTACAGTGCTGTTTCTCAAATACCAGCGAGCAGGTTGCTGGTGACTGACCTTTCTGAGCCTTTCTAATATATTTTGCCATGCCGAAGTGAAGCATCATTTTTATGATTTAGGCTCATGGCTGTGTGTTAGACATCTGTTACACAGTATGTCTGACCAAATTCATTAAACTTATGGGTTTTGGTAGAATAGGTTGATTTAAAAATCTACTGATAAAGGAGACAAACTAAATTTTCTAATTTAATGCTTGACTTGAATAATGTCCAGCTTTCTGCTCGTCAAATATTTAATTAGATTGCCATGTTGGTCATAGACCGTATTCTTGGCAGTCAAATGCTCACTGAAACAAATACAGTAGTGTAATGTAAATCCTACGGAGGTTTTTGTGTAAGCATGGGAACTTTAGAAATCGTCTGGAAAACAGCCCAGCTATTTAATTTAATTTAAAATTCCTATGAACTAATAGTTCTAGCTATCTGGAGGTTTGGGTTTTTTTTAACACTATTGGAGTCTGTGCACATGTAGATATGAATCTGTATACCCAATAGTTAGACTTGCAAGGAGAAGAGCCTAGGCTGAACTTACAAGCATTTAATCAACTTGGAAATGAGTCAATACTGAAAACTTCTTAAAGTCCATCTGACTTGCTGCTTCAACCAATTTATTTTCCATATGCAAGGGATACTGAACATGCATTTCTATTCCTCCTTAGAGCTGGGGTAAAGACAGATTAAAAAAATGAACAGCTGCTTTCCCTAGCACAGAAGGAAAAAATGGCAGAGCGATAGCAAAGTCTGACTGAGGAGAGCTTTTCATCTGCATGGAAGAGATTGGGTTGTCTCCTCTTCCAATTTACCCTTCTCATTTTCACCTTTCTGGTAGCTACAGGCTGACAGAATAGTCATATGGAATAAAAATCTGCTTGCAGCAGCTTCAGGAGGACCTAAGATGCTAATGATTACATAAAAATCCATGTAGAGCGAGAAATCCATGTAAGAAGTAGTGGTGCAGATAGAGACAAACCTCTGAAAACTGACAATGGACTTGGAGCAGCAGAGCCCTTTCACTGATGCCTAAATAAAACTGCTTAAACAGCAACTTCCCCTGAGCTGTCTGGATGAATGAAATAACTACCTTTTTATAATGCATTTTAGCCCAGATTGTCTTTCAGAGAGATTCCCTCAGGGAGATATAAAATAACCCTTTCAAACTGGGGCCGATTCCTCATGAAGTTCTTGTAGAGACAACATAGCATAATTTATACCTTAATATAATGAACAATTATAAACCTGCTTTCCACATTGTGGTTGGCCTGGACTGAGTACTGGAGTGGAGGATGCCAGTGCACCTCAGCAACTGGTAGTCAACAGTAAGGAAGGGTGTTTGCACCTGCAGTCAGTACACAGAATGCCTCCAAACTGCGAGCTGCAGCTGCCCTTCAGCCCTGTCACCTCCTCAGAACGAAAGCCCAGACAGTCTTAAATGTTTAATTATTTGGTGACTCATTGATGGCAGTGTGGCTCCTTTGCTGAAAATAAATAAATAAATAAATAAATAATGTTTTAGAAACTGATTTAGATCTGTGCCTAGTTTTAAAGAGAGTGAGAAAAAGGAAGTTTTTGTTTACCCTTCACGAAAGAGTGAGAAAAAAAAAGGATCTGGTGTGATATAAGTAGTTAAAGTCTAGGTGAGTTCTGTGTGTCACTCTGCAGGAGGGCTGAAAGCACTTAAATACATTTCCCATCACGCTATGTGTATGTGTTTTTCAGAAAAATATTGGTGATAGAAGTGCTTAAAATAGAATGCAGGGGAGAGGTTAATTGTCTCAGGACCACTTTGATATCCTTATGCCTTTGAAATGAAGAATCTGAGTTCCTAAGATTCTACAGATGGCTAAACATGAGAAAATGTTTGTTAAAAATATAAAGTGAATCTCAAAGTGACTCCTGGTAAAGTTGCATCATTTTGTCGCTACCATTATAATCCTGAGGTCTGGGAAGCCCTGGATCTGACTCCTCAAGAGTGGCACCTCTTGGCCCTGCTGAAATCACCTTCTACAGCCATTTTATCCCTCCCTGTTCGCTGGGGCAAGGAGCTCACTAGGAGGTATAAAGCTCTCACTTCTGCAGCCTCATGAGGTCTGAGCTTAAACCATGATCACTAGTGTAGAACAGAATATTGCTTGTCCTGGGCCTGCAGCCAGTGACATTTGTGTGGATGGCTGGGAGTGCCACATTTCAGAGGGGACAAGTAAGCGGTTTTTGCCTGACTCCCTAGAAAAATGAGACTGAAGGTGCTAAGGAGGTTGGAATATGATGGAGGTTTGTGTGGATTAACGGACAGCAGGGCAGTCAAAGGTATATAGGGAATGAAATATATCACACTGGTATCACCTCCCCGTGTTGTTTTATTATTTATGTATATATGAAATTTTAACCTCTTCTTCCCGAGAGAAAGGGCTGAGTTTTTTTGCATTGCAAACACAACCAATGGAAAACACTCAGCAGCCACAAAGTAATGAACCTACACTATGGATTTTTTCAAACTGCCCAGTGATTCATGAAATGCTTTTCAAAACTGGAAATATGCATTGAGGATTGGTCAGAAAAGGTAGAAACGATATTATAGATCAGTCAATACTGTCTCTCCTTTATGAAAGCAGGCTGCCTTTGAACTTCTGACAGAAGCAAACAGTGATAGATGCATAAAGAAATGAAATATTGCATGGAAATAGAAGTGCAAATGAAAACAGAAGGGGGAAATAGTGAGATAAGATCTGCTGAATCTGCTGCTTTTTTCTTTCTTGTTTCTTAGTTTTCTCCCCAATCTAGGAAGCATAAATATAGGTATTGGGTGTTTCAGAAACAACGTCCATCTCAACTGAATGGACTCATGTGCTTTAAAACCACACTTGAAACCCTGTGCTTCATTCTAATCACTTTTTTGGAGGGGAAGTTAAAAAAGACATATCCTGGAATATACAGTGTTCTCAAAATTCCACTTCTAAAGTCGGAAACTTTGAAGATTAAGAAATTGGCACAGGAGGCTACAGATGGAGGGTGCCCAGTACCGCTTGTGGAAGCCACAGGATGACCAGAACCTGTTCTCCATGGCCTATTGTTTCACCATTCACTACCAAAACAAGAGAAGGAAGACATACACCCTGTCTATAAACAGAGCACAGATTTAACATATGGACTAAAGCAACTGAGAACATAATTACTACAATTTGGTAAGGGATTGGATACATTTGAATATTCTGGGGATGTCTTTGCTGTAATTTAAGAGATCTCAACAGGATCCTGAATGCCTCAGTTTTCAGAGTCTGCATGCTTGTTCCTTTGCAGAGAAAGACTACACCAACAGGAAGTCAAACTGTTAA